GGTAACCATAAGTTTGTTTTCTGTGCCTGTGAGTCTGTCTCTGTTTTGTAGATAAGTTCATTTGTGTCATTTTTAAAAGATTCCACATATAAGTGGTATCATGTGGTATTTCTCTTTCTCTTCCTGGCTGGCTTCACCTAGTATGAGAATGGCTTTTAATGTCGTTTCTCTGCAAAGCAGATCAGGCTGGTCTCCTCTATAGCAGAGACAGCTCTTGCTGGTGGACAGGTTTCAGAATCTGCCCAGAATTCGTAGGTTCAAGAACGTTCAAAGTGTAGGAAGACAGATAACAAACTCATTGTTCCCATTATCTTTCCATCCCCACTCCCACTTCCCAAATAGCAACAACAACAAACCCAGACACAACCCTTAGTGTTGCAGAACAGCAGTCACCCTCTAGGGCTCTGTAGGTGAGAGGGGAATGGTGGGCGGTCCTGTGCTGGGTGTCTGGGGTCTCAGCTGGGCTGGAGGACCCGAGGTGACTTCCTCTCCCCACCCTGGTGAGCTTCGGATGCGGAAGGGCAGGTAGAGGTTGTCCTGCAAGGCTGCTGGGTCTCACAGGGAGGGGCGGACTTGAGAGGGAGCAACCAAGGGATCGGCCTGAAGCCACCGGGCTCTGAGCATGCTCAGAAGTCAGGCGGTAACTTGCCGGCCACAGTCTGCTGGGTCCAAGGGCGTCACTAAGTCCCGACCAGATTCAAGAGAAGGTGGGCAATCAGAACCCTCCTCCTGAGACGGGAGTGCAAGGTCACGTGCATGGCAGGAGAGCTCGGAGCTTTTGGTGTGGCCATCCTTGGAAAGCACAATTGTTCAGACTCACAGATTCAGTGTATTTTCAGAATTTACCTACTGTGAGATGGTGGTTTAAATATGCACTGGTCACACATGAAGGCTTCATTAGATAGTACAAAAATCAGGTTATCTAAGGTCACAAAAAATAGTTAGGTAAGAAAACTGGCATGCCGCGAGGCAAGGCACGCCTTCTCGCGAGAAACTGGCACCTGGCTCTTGGCATCTGCCCGCCCTTCCACAGGCGTCGCCCTCTTCCTCTTGGAACTTCAGCTTCCTGCCTCTTGAAGTGTACGAACTGCGTTGTTTCCTCATCTGTGGGGAAGGATAGCTCTACCTGCCTCCTAGGTGTGCGGACTAAATGAGCCAAGGTGTGAAACGCACTTGGAACAGCGTCCAGCAGGGAGCAAATGCTGTTACTGTTGGTGGTGCTTTTCCGGCTGCTCTCTGACTTGAACTTCCAACCCTGCGCCCAGGACACATCCTCTGAGTGAGCGCGGGGCTCGTCCAACCGGCCTTTCCTCCGAGCAAGCTTCCTCCAGGGCCGGCACCAGGACACCTTGCTGCAGCCCATTGGCCATGGATGGGGGAGGGTTGGTCACCGCACCCAAGGGAGAACATCATTAAAGCACACAACAAGGGGCACAGATAGTGGGGCGAGCATCCCTGGGACCGGCAGTGTCGCTGGAAACCAACTAAAAGCTCTAACAGTAAACAGCATTTATGACTTTTTAACGACAGCAAGAAGCATCACAGACAACATGGCAGTAAATGACTAAAAGCAGGCGCGAACGTGATGAAAGTTTAATGGAAAACACAAAGGAGACTGGGTAACGGGGCCAAATGGAGTCACCCACCATCTTCGCGGATGGGAGATTCACTGTGGGAGAGTCCAGGCTCTGTCAGGCGGAACTGCAGTTCAGTGCGGTGCCAGTATGGAGTCAGTGGGCGTGACTTGGTCCTGCTGTTGGGCTGCGCGATGCTGGTGTGTCAGGGAGCCTGCCTCACAGATCACGGGGACAGCCCTTAGCGTGGTGTTTAAAAACAGAGCATGGGTTCCAAGAAAGGACTTCAGTGCATATGAAGATTAGTGTGACATAGAATCCTACCTGGTGCGGGACAAGTGGTCCTTCATGTGGTGTAAGAGAAGAGAGCCCTTCACCCCACACAGACCAGAGTTGCTGCAGATGCAAGAGCCAACCGTGAG